TGGGGTGGGACCAAGCCAATCGGACTGAACTAGGAGTCTTTGCGCGGGAGGTGGGAGAACCAAACCATCAGGCAAGGGATGAAACATGAAAGGAGACAGCCTATTTTTCAATGTGTATAATATTTATTCATCAAAATTATCACTCCCCCCGAATACCTGTTGGATTTCATGACGGTTTACGGTCACATAAAAATACCGTAAAATAAAACACATCCACTAAAACCCACAGTAAAAACAGCAAAATGCAAGGCGCCATCAAAATCAGCCAGGCTCTCAAAAAAAGAAAGAAAGAAGTCTAGCCAAATGACAACTACAAAACAGAAGTCTTAAGCCGGTGCCTAGGCGGGCTCACCCCCAATAATTCTGAGAAGGCCAGGAAGACAAAATTGGAAGCTTAGAAGAGTTGCAAGTTTGATTTTTAAAAGAGAGAGAGAGAACTAGGATGTTGGTGCCTGAGAACGCTTCAAAATCCACAGGAAAGCCAGACCTTTATTGGGATGAACTGTAATTCTGTGACTGTACGGAAGGCTTTGGGGTTCTAGAGAACAAGGCTAAGTGTTTAAAAAAAGAAATCTAGGGTGGGTGAAAGAGAGGGGGGGGAGCCCAGGGATACAAAGATTTGTCTTGTTGTTTTTAATGAAATCCACCGTTCAGCAAAGTCCTAAGATGGAACCTGCAGGCTTCAGAGTATGTAAATATCAGGTGAAACCCAGCCGTCCCTGCTGAGAAGGGGAAGAGGAAGGTGGGTCATCTTGCCTGCAAACACAAGGCCAGCATCTGCTCTAAGATCGGCCTCTTGTCTCAAACAAAACACATCAGGTTTCTGGATGTCATCACTCATGAAAATGCTTTATGGCATTCAGAATCGTGCTTTCCTTGTGAGTTCAAGGAAGCTGACTCTCTTTTTTTTAATGGGGATGTATTAAGTAAGCAGGGCAGGAAAAGGCAATGCCCCCGTGTCTAGTTTGGGTAGAATTTAAAATTCTGGAGGAAAAAAACGTTATGAAAATGGGAAGAGATATCAGGGAGAGGGTGCCAACAAGAGTAATTGGGATGATGAGCGACACTTGGAAGGATGGGTGGGAGGAAAGTTTCTTGTTTTACAAAGAGTGGTGTGGATAATTAGGTTTGCAATCACCAAAAGCGGCACAGAGGAGATCAGGATGGGAAGGCAGGCCAGATCCAAGAGCAGGGGGTGAACGGCATGGGATGGGAGACCCAGCGAGGAAGAAGCTCAAGCCGGAAATGCTAATGAAGTGGAGAAGGCAATTAACGGCAGCCTCGAAAACAGGGCGCTCCCAACAGCTGTGACTGAGAGCTTAAACCTGGCAAAGGGATGGAGTGAACCAGGATTGGGGTCCAAGGAAAGAACCAGGATCCGGTTGGAGGCAAGGAGGGCTCACACTTCATAAGATTTGGGGACCTCAGTCCTCTCTGGGGCTGGACAGAGCCCTCTGGGTTCCCCCAAAAGGCTGCTTTCCCTCATATCTCCCCAGATTTTTGGAACTTGGGATGAATGAAAGAAACACAAGCAAACCCATGGAACAGTTAAAGGGTTCAGCGAGAGCAAGAGCGATGCTTCCTTACATACCCCCATCGTCAACCTTTCCACCCGTTAAATTTTTTTTTTTATTTCAGGGCCCACTTCTCAGCGGTGTCTTTTGACCTAGAGAGCTCTCTCTCTCCCTGATCCTTCACCTTCTCCTGCTTTCTCTTGAAACATGTCAGGCGTAGGGCAAGAGGAGGCATTTAAAAAAGATCACTGCCTCACTCTTGTCTATAGGTCAGGATCCTGTCATGCAGTCCCACTAGAAGGCCATCTGCTTTGGCCAAAATGGGGAGAGTCTTCTTGAAACTCCTCCTCCGTCACTGCCTCCCCAGATTCTGCCTGCTGAAAAGCCTGCTTCGGAGGGCTGAGAAATCCTGCAGGGCAGGATTCTGGCCCCCGTGGAGGCCAAAAGCAGGAGCAGGTAGGGGGAAATCCCATCTCTACTAGCGTCGGAGATCAAGGATGCTGCCGGATATTGGCTAAAAGGGTAGCCAGCAGGAACAACAACAGTTATACTCTTGCAGCAACAGAGATGGACTTCTTCATGAGTGGTGGTCTTCTCTTGCACCCAGAGCTGTTCCAACTGGCCCCGTCCATTCAGTCACTTGTTGTGATCCTGCCAATTCCCTCAAGGAATACAACCATTTGGATAAAGAGACATCGCTCGAATTGCACCCTGCTCACTCCCTAAATATCTGCCCTTCCAGGGGCTGACTTCCACGTCCCCCTCTGGTGAGACCACACCAGTCTCCCGTCTTTCTTTGGCCTCCTCCCCTTCATTTGACACAATCCACAAACTGGAGGACACAGGTGGGTCAAGTATGCAGGATGCTCTACAGCTAGGACCCCTCTGGTGAGACCACACCAGTCTCCCGCCTTTCTTTGGCCTCCTCTCCTTTATTTGCCACAATCCACAAACTGGAAGACACAGGTGGGTCAAGGATGCAGGATGCTCTACAGCTAGGATGGAGTTGATCTCTCTGTGTGTTTCCCCCCCCCCTTGCTTGCAACACTGATGACGATTTGGGGAGAAGATGCTGCAGTTGTCGAAGCAACTGCCCAGCCGGTCTGCAAGCGGCCTCAGCAAAGACGTCTTCCCGCCCTTCGGCCCCACTGATCTACCTCCTGCTCCCGAGATGCTCAGGACCGATTCACTCCCCAGCGGGGTCAGGCCAGGCCGCAGGAGAATCGCTGTGCATTCGCTCGGGGAATCTTCAACATCACCTGCGTATTAAAAGTGCCTGACAAGGGATTTATCTCTGCCACCCACATCACATTATTTCTTTTCCTCCGAAATCCCCCTGGGGTGGGGGCGGGGGGGGATCTGACCTTGAAAACTGTTTGGAATGGGGAAGCAGGGGTGAGGCAGAGGTCCAGCGCCCTCAGATGATGATGATGAATGGTCCTGATCAGCATCCTTGCTTTGTGCTTCCTATTGATGAGACATCTGTAAACTTAGCTAGTTCATTGGACCAATCTGGGAGAGTGTCTGTGTGTGTGTGTGTGTGTGTCAGAGAGAGAGAGAGGGGAGAGCAACTGGGTATATCAAACCCATTCTACATAACCTTTAAAAACACACACAACCCCACACCTTTTGCTCACTGAGGAATTTTCAGTTTAGATTAATATACCTCATTGTGTGCCATAACGTCCCTCTCGCCAGAAAGGCTAGGGACCGGATCATTGGATTTCGCCCACCCTTTCGGTGGCTTCCCGAACCCTTCATGGCAACCTTTAAAGCTGTCCGCTCTTCCGCCTGGCTGACTTGCAACCTTTGTTCCCTTCATTAGGTTTCTGGCTGCAAATGCCTCCTCGTCTACCCTTAGATGCCCTCCAGGGATCTAATACCAGCTCTTGCCTGGGGGTCCCACTCAGGAGAAGGGAAATTCCTTCCATCCCTGACATCTCATCAGCGTCCCAGGTGGATCATTTCCTTCCTCCTGTTCCACCTGGATGAGGGGGAATTAAACCCAGGACCTTCCCTTTGCAGCCTCAGCACTGCAGGACAGGGTTGCAGCCTTTGGTCTCACCCAGTCAGATCCTGGGTCCACCATTGCTTCTGCCACATACACCCTCTGGCGCTCCACCACGGAGGGGTAGAAGTGAAAGACATGGCCATTCCCCCCCCCCCGGCCATTATTTTTCATACACATCCCCAGGTCTGAGCAGCAGAAGCCAGGGACTCGGATTTCACAAAAAAGGGATGGAAATCTGCTGCGGTTTTCAGCCCAAAATTAACAGGAGGAATCTGAGGAGTCAAACTTGGTCCCCCACATCAGAAGCCGCCACATCCACTGGGTCTAAAGCTGCATATTCTAGCACAGAGTTGTCTGCAAAAACCTGAACCCAGGCGGGTGCAAACGGCCCGTGTCCCTGTGTGTGTGTTTAAAGTGGCCCCGGGGCAATCCAATCAAAGGGATAAGACATCCAAAAAGCCATTTTCTTCCATCTTCCTGGAGCAGGTTGGCCGAGGGCAGCAGCTAGAAAAAGATGGCAATCAACTTCCCGGGCAGGGTTAAACTCCCGTCATCCCTCGGAAAAGCTTAATGGGTCGGGAGATAAATAGACCCCTGGCTCTTGCAGCCGCCCAGCTGACCTGGAACTAAATGGTGCTTGACACAGATCGCTGGCTCCTGCTGGAGCAGAGCGGGGCACCTATGTGCGTGCGTGCATTAGCCAAGAGCGGTCTGCCTCCGGCACGCACGGAGGTATTCTAATTGCCAAGCCTTCTCACAAGTATGTAGATTAACAGGCACTCCTTTAAAAATGCAAGAGCCATGCGGCTTTTCCTGCCCCCAGAAAATGGGGTTCGGAACAAACAGTCGTCTTCTTTGGAAGGAGGTATAAACACAATAATATTGAGCCTGTGCCATCAAATCTGCTCCAAATCATGACAATCCTCCTCACAGGGTTTTCTAAACACATGGAAGTCATTTCCTAGTCCCTCCTGCTGGGGGCGCTCTTGGGCCACCCTATGGCTCAGCCAAGGCCCCACAGGGGGCCAGGCATGGGATCCTGTCAGCCCTTCATGCTCCGTTTAGGTGACCTCACCCAGACCTTCTCCTGGGAGGCACAGGAGGGACTCAAATCCCGACCCCTGGCTCCCCACCTCGGCAGTCCAACCCACTGAGACAAGAGAGCATTTTGGAAGGATACCTACTTCCTCATTTCTGGAGGTATCCACTGCAAGAGAAGGTCCTTTTGTACTGGGGGGGAAAAGGGAGAAACTATACATCCCATGTTCACATTTTAAATTTAAAAAGGCAAACGTGATGATGGCAGTGAAGACGGCAACCTGGAAATGAAGCCTGATATGGTTTAAGGCAATCACCCATGGTTCCACACTCTTTGGGGGCCATGCCTATGCCGAGTGTGTGTAGGGGGCATCTGCTCTGCAAAATGTAGCGCTATGCCACCAGAGGAAAGAACCGAGACACAGTGGCATGCTTACCCGGTACCAGACTATTTCCCGCATTCTGCCATCTGTCTTGAAGTTACATTTCAAGGTCACGGCATCCCCAACCACCACAGGTGGGAGCGGCTCGATGCTGACTGTCAGGTAACCTGCAGGAGACAAGTGTGGGAGAGAGAAAAACCAATCAGAAGACAAGACTTGCTCTCGCGCATCGGGGCCCCATCCGCCAAATCGCCATCCCACCCACACTGAGGAAATCAGAAGCAGAGCAAAAGTGAGAGGGTGATCGCCGGCCATCTGCCCCAACTTCCCCTTTCCATTTCCACGGGAAGGGGGCATCCTTCCATGTCCATCCCCACCAGAGGCCAACACCCTAAACACCCCTATCTGGTGTGATTTCCAAAGCTAAGGAGCGTGACTGCCATCCAAGAAATACAGGAGATCTCCAGGAAGGACTAGGAAAAAATCTTGGATGAAACCAGGGAGATCCATGGCTGCCAACCAGAGCTGCCAATACTGGACTAGGATGGGTCTCACTTAAGAGAAGGCAGATTCCTTGCTTGCTATGTGTCCGCCTGTGTCTGAAATCAATTCTTTCATGGGCTGTTGCCTTAAGCAGCTCCCCGCCTGCTCTGGAAATTGTGTCCTGGAGTTAGGCTGCGGTGCAACCAGGAAAGGAAAGAGGATGTATCATGTTTTTCATTATTGTCATTTCTGCCTGCCTTGACACGACATCTTAACAAGGAATTTTTAAAGCCCTGTGGGATTCCTTGCTTCCTACTGAGAAGGAGAGAGAGATGATGATGATAAGCTCCTCAGCGCAACTGGGATGGAGTGTCTCTCCTCTGCTTTCCCTCTGAGAAGTAAACAGCCCCCACACAGCAAGCACCGAAGGATGGGCTGATTGTTAAGAGAGATTCAAACAACCCATTTGGTGCTTCAAGGTTAAGAAAGATTCGAACGACCCATTAGGTGCTTCAGCTCCTTAAACAAAGCAGTGGTCATCCTTGTTTGGAGCAATCCATGCAGCTGCATGGATTGCACTGTTGTGTATAAAATGAACCATCAATTTTTACATCAAGCATGACTGGCCTAAGGTGTCCCAGCATGTGCAGACAACAATCTTGATTTCCCAAGTTCCTGTCAATGCTTTAAACATTATACCGTAACTCTTTTCTATGGAAGTTAAAGAGCTGGTCCTCAGTTGCATCAATCTCCACAGAAGTTTCCAAAGCACTTGTGAAGATTCATTAGAAAATGAAAGGAAAGACAGATCGGTCTCTGCAAAACAGCTCCCACTTGTCACCTCCAACCAGTGTTCATTTCTCTTCTTGCATCATCGTTCTGGAGTCTGAACCCTCCATTAACTTGACGCTTCATTACTTAGAGCAGCTCCATCAGTCTCCCTCCCCTCTCCTCAAGACCATTTCTGCCTCGCCTATTAAGATACATTTAGCAATAGAACTGATAACATTTAAGAATCAGATGTGACCACGCAAAGATATTACTGCTGAAGATCGGTCTGTGCCAAGATACCTTGGATGCTCAAGGAACATTTCTGCTTCTCCCCACGGATGTGTGACCAAACAATTCTGAATAAAGAAGAGCAATCAAGTCTCTGGCAAAATATGCAAGTGAGCTCAGCACACCTAAATCAGTATGGTAATTTTCAGGAATCATAGACAAGTGAAGTTGGAAGGGGGACCTACAAGGCCAATGGGTTTATATGTGGATACAAACTTCCATCATGTCTGTTCCCCAAGGCAGAAGGTGAAACAATTAAGACGGCTTTAATCCAGTGGCAGAGGGAATCGTCTTGTTCACCTACCCTCAAACGCCACAACCTAAGCGAAATGTGTTGCGAAACACTCACTCTCCTCAAATTTATTTCCTCTTTCATGGAGATCTTGCAACCAGCAAGGCTACTTTGGTAGGACAGAAGTGAGGGAGGAGGCAAAATGTTGGGAGAAAAGCAGCAGGATTTTTAAAAATTTAAGCCGTGTGCCCAAGAGCCATGCAAAAGACAGAGTGCCCACGTTGCTAGGGTGACTTTTGACAGCTTGAGGGAAATGCATTATGGATTACAGACAATGCAATCATCTCCCCTCTGGTTCCCCCTTGGCCTGCTCGGCAACTGGCTGCAAAGGCACCGTGAAACGAAACCCAGCTTTTGTTTTCCTGAGTGTCAGTGGGGTCGCCGGAACATTTTCCAGGCCCTGGAAATGGAAAAGAAATGGAACCAGTGAAGGCTGGCAACTCCCATCTCCTGGAGGGGGTGGTGGTGGTGCATCTGGGCCAAACTTTAAAAGAGTTCCCCAAAGGGACAGAACTTCTCTAGAAGCTTAACATTCAGCACCTCGGAGAGCTCTGTAAATCTACACTCACAAAACCATCCCTGTAAACCACCACTGGATGTTGTAGGAACCTCAAGCTGTCAGGGTAGAAACCATGGGCTATAGGCCTTTATTGTTCCAAAGGGGGAATCAGGTAGTGGATCAAATACACCCATCAATTTATGGGGAAAAAACAGATGCGTCAAAAAAGGAAAGCACACATATTGGAAAGGAGCCACAGCCAAATCTTCATGAGTCTCCATGGCTCTTTAAGAGCCAAAGTCTCACAGTGTGGCACAAAATAAGGATCACGGAGGTGGGATTCAGAGAGTCTCAGAGAGAGAGAGAGAGAGAGAGGTTGGAAGTTGTGTACATCTATACAAAAGGAGACAAATCAGCAACAACAGTCAAACAAATGACAACCCTTGCTCAAATCACACAAACACACAAGATTAAAACACCGCTAAATGAAGCAGGGGGAAAAATGAAAGAGGGGCAAACCTGTCCGAAGATGTTCTGGTTCCAGCTTGAAACTAAGGCACGTTAATTCAAAACTTAAGGAGAACATCTTGGAAGCCACCCCCAGGCATGGCGAATATGAGGCGGGCAGGAATGTTCTCTGCCGGACCTCAAGGTTGTCTAGGATGGAGAGAAAATGATGACACCCTTCATCCTTTAGGGACCACTGTTGTCCAGAGATGCCTAGATTGTGGATTTCTACAATCTGTTTTAGAGTTTGAAGGACGGCGGAAATGAACCTCTTCTCTGTTCGACCCCAGAAAAACTCATAATGGAACTGAACTGTTTTGTTTGTCCTGATGGTGAGCAGAGGCAAGTAAGGGAGAGAAAAAAAGGTGCTACATAGACTTCAACACAAACACAGTTAATGCATTCTCGTTGTGGGGGGGGGGAAGCAACCTGAGCCACTCCATCTGAACCATCCTGGCCCCGAAACCCTCCCCAGTAACCTCATCATCCATTTGAAAGGGAAATTGCTCCTCTTGTCTCCTGTAATCCCATGGATGGAGCCTCAACAGGGCTTATTTCAAAGAGATCCTTCTTCGCATTCCATTTCGTTGCCATGCAGAAATGACACGAGAGCAAGCAAAGGAGAAATGTAAATAATTTCTTAATGGAACTGTCACATGGAGAAATGGAGGTGGGAGGGGGGAAATGACACAAGGCCGGGGAGAAAGAGGTGAAAGAAGGATGAGAGCTGGAGGGCAGAGAGGGCAAACTAAGCAGGGCATGAACAAAGTGAGTCATAGAGATGAGCAGTATTTGCTCTCTCTTTTTTTAAAAAAATAGAGAAGCTGCATCTGATCACCTCCCCGCTCAACAACAACAACAAAAGGGGTGGGGGAAGGATAATGAAGGGCATCTGGTCCTTCCATTTCAAAATCATCCCATTTCTACAGTATGGAAGCGAAGATGAAAGAGGCCACGGTCTGCTTTCCACAATGGAGTAACTGCATTCACGAGTGCTTCCGAAGTTGGCTCCCACCTACACAGACGGTCAAAGGTTTCATTCACCCTGGCTTGTTCCACATAGTGTCGGCTTCGGATCCTCTTCTCAATGAGGCAAGGAACGCAAGAGTATGTTGTCATGAGCAAGGCGAGTCCGCAGGTGGGACAGCGAAGGAAGTGGAAAAGACAATCAAATCTTGTGGGGTGTGAGACAAGGAGTAGAAGCAGGGAACTTTGCCTCCTGCTTAGACCAAATTCTAAGTCACAAGAGGTCAAGAGGATTGCTGAGATAAAGAGCTATCAAGACTGCACTTCAGAGCATAAGTAAAAGTGTTACTAAAGCAGAGGTTTAAGTAGCTGCCCCCATCTCGCTTCCTGCTTTTTCCCCTCTTGTTTTCCTCAGAAGTGCTCCCAGCCAACCAGGGATCAGGGGCCACACGTGATGATACTATAGTATAACATAATAATATAACCAATCAGTTCTGGCCATTGAGCACCTTTAACAGAAGCAAATAAATCCCATGCAGAGAAAGAGGAATGTGTCTTGCACAAGCCACACAAGTTAGCCTAGTCTATCAGGGATCACAAAAAGAAATTTCTGTAATTCAAAGTGAAATGGCTACACAAAAGCCAGGCTGTTCAACTCAGATGAAGATTTCAACAACACTGAGGACACATTTCACCAGAGACTTAGTCAAGGCTTGCATAATACCCTGGAGAAGTTGCAGTCAGACATTTTCTTTCAAGTGTCCTTGAGATTCTTTCCTCTGGAGCAATGCTGAATCTCAGCCAGACATGCTTTGGGTTATAATATAATCCTAATGGATGGTGAGGTGTATACCATGACTTCCAAGGAAATTTGGCACCGAGAAGTACAGTATAAAGTAAGGCGCAAATTAAGAGTGGAAGAGAGAGGATGGTTTACACTGATAGCAGATATTTATAGAAAATGTTCAAGTATCAAAAAGAACTTTGGACATGTCAGTTCTTGATTCCAGAATGACACAATTAATCATATAGAACATATAGGTATTAGAGTGTCTAACAAGAAACAAGAATATTATGGCAAGATATTGTGGCTTTCAAATTTCACTCCACTGAGCAAAACTACCAGGCATGCAAAAATTTTTATTCACACAACAGATGAAGGAGCAGAAAGGCACGATGCTGAAATCTGTTTGTTTTGTTTGGGCACTCTGATAAACAGCAGGCGTCCCTTTATATGATGCTGCTCTGGATCCATCCACAGCCTCTTGCCACCAATGGATAGCAGGAATGGGGTCACTGATAGGTTGGCATCTAAGCAAGCTGGCCAGGGAAGAGTTCCAAAGTTCTTAGCGGTGGGAACC